CGGGTAGCCTCAGAAAAACACTAAGGCAAATGCCTTTCTGATAACTCTTAAAGAAGGTCTGCTGGACACAGAGTCCAACCTTTTGAGTTATGCAGTCAAAGTCTAAAGTGCAGAAAGTAAATGCGTAAAGTAAATGACACTGGGATTTTTATAGTGGTTCCAGGAACAACGTGTTCTTCTAGTCCACTGTTCCACTAAGCTTGTAAGTTAACAATTACAAGGCCTTAGTCCTTAGCACTTAAGAAGCACTCCTCATCTTCTTCAAACCTAGTTGCCACCCGGGATGCAGTCCTGCTTCCTGATGGCTTGTCTCGTTTCACTGAGTCTCTTGGAAGTATCTCCACTTCACTTACTCCAGTTAGTTTGAGACGTCCCTTCTTTTTCAAGAAGTGTTTGTTTTAAGAACGGTTTTCTCCAACGTAGCTTCTTCACAAAGGATGTATAAGTGAGGCTTTCGAAGTGTTGAAGAACTGGAGGAACTTTTCTCTTGTTGGATGAGAGGATAAGAAGTTGATATCTTTCCAATGTAAGCTTTTCTTGTTGAAGTGAATGAATTTGAAATCTAAAGAAAGCTTGGATGCTGAAGGTGTTGTTTTTGCAAGATGCAGAGAGAAAAGTTATCCTATAGTTCTTCGAAGTGTATCTTATATACTGGGAGTAGTCTTCCAGTTGGAGTGTAGAAGACAGCTTCATTAAATGCTTGTACTGTTGATTTGACCAGTTGGACCTTCGACTTGCTATTTTGGGGGCGAAAAGATACCCGCATGGTCAATCATCAACTTTAAATATATCTTCGTACGTACATCATTAATTGAGCATTTAATGCATGTACAGTACCATGTTTCCGTCGAATGGCTCCTAGCCGTTAGGGAATTTCCCGTTAGTTTCACGGCTGTTGGAAAGTGCCTTCGAATTCTGCTAAGTAAGAGTAAGTCTGATGAGGCTTTCTGGTCCGAACTCTGATGTCTGCCGCTGATGCCAACTCTGGTACCCAACTCTGGTAGCTTCTCTGGTGAGCAACTCTGGGAGCAACTCTGGTAGGTGTTCTGATCAAGAAGACCAGAAGGGTTTCTGGCATGACGACTATGCTAATACTTACAACGAAATTTCTAATACAGAATTTCTATTGGGGTACTTTCAAATTCTAAATATCCTAGCATCATCAAAATCTAATTACATTTATTCCTTACATATTCTCATAGTCACTTAAGTGTAAATGATGGATAGTGTACCCGGGGGGGTAGCTTATCCGGGGGGTTACTGCGGGGAGTAACTTAGAGAGAAGTCAGAGTAAATAAATAAGAGAGATAAAGAGTTCGAATATAGAATGAGTATTCAAGTCGTGTGTTACAAAGGGGAAAGGGGCAGCTATTTATAGTAGTAATAAATGCGATGAGAGTACATGTGTCAATAATCTGACGGTCGAGGGATCACCTCAAACTGGGTGGCACCGGCACCTGCATGTGGCCGCATTAAATGCGGTGGTTGGATGTGACGTTGTACTTGGTACGGCGATCCAGGCGCATGTGGAGAGGAGATTCGGTCGAGGAAGGTGCCTTCGTCTTTAGACGATAAGCCGAAGGCTCTTCGTACCGGGGGCCTCTCAGTGCCGAGGGGTCTAAGTGTTGAAGGCTACTGATTTTCGCCGTTTTCTCCCAGTAGCTTCGTATGCCCAAAACCAGCTGTCCTGTGGGATTTCGGGCCTTCATTCTGGGGGCCGAAGGCGTCCATATGTGCAGCGTGGGCTCCTTGATATCTGGGGCGCTGTGATTCGGGCCCATTATGCTTCCTGGGCTTGTTGGGCCTGTGTCAGAGTAGCGGGAGTTTGTGGGCCGGGGGTTCCTGGGCCATATACTCCATCAGGAGTCCCTCACTCCTTTTTCTGAAATGTACTTTAGGGAAAAGGAGTAGTTGTGTTTGTCCTCTGAAGCTGCCCGGCTGTGGTTTGTAAAGTAGTGAGGAGTTTTGCGCTTGCATGTTCTGCCGAGGGAAGTCCATCGGTCCCACACATTTTTGGACCTGGAGGATTATGTTGATGTTTTGGGGAAAGTTTAACATTTTGTGATTTTTCCCGGAGGGGTCCTCCAGTCCCCCACTCCTTGAGGAACTTGTAATGTGGTGAAAAGGAGTAAAGTAGTGCATGTTTTTATCATAGGGCCGAAGGCTTGTGCTTTTCGTTTCATTTTGGGGGGATACCTCATTAAAACCTCGTTAGAAAAACCCTGTGGGAAAAAATTCTAATGAGGGAAAAAGAGTGCCCCGAGTTCCCCCAATGATGAATCGAAAAGGTTAACCCTTGGTCTGAGTATAGTGTTGAGGCCGAAGGATACCCGTGATCAGAGGGCTTGGTTGTTGATTTGCCGAAGGCACCTTTTTGGTATCCTGGTGATACTGAGGGGAGTCCCTCAGTCATTGGGGCTGAGAGCGTGATAAATGTGAGTGGTTGTTCCTGTGTTGCCGAGGGGGGTTCCCTAACTCTTGATAAGTTGGAGGCTGAGGGCTCCCGAGGGGTCCCGTTATTTTATGTCGGAGGCTAACCACTGATGAGAAGTTTGAAGGTGTGTTCTTGGGGGGTTCCCGGGTTTTCTACATGTTGAGGGCTAAGGGTTCCTGAGGGGTTTTTCCGTTGTGAAGCTGGGGGCTCTCCTCGATAAAGGAGTCTGAAGGAGTTAGCCCGAAGGCATGCTCAATTGTTGCATGAATGGTGTCAACCGGGGGCCCCTCTGGTTTTCCAAAAAATAGCCATTGTAATATGACCGTTGGAGAGGATTTCCACGTGGCGCTTGTTCGTTGGCTGTCTATAGACGGGCGTCACTGGTTGGTTGAACTGACGGTTCGTAATGATGACTTTGGCGTCCGGGGGGCGGTTTTCGTCCTAAGCCCGAATTTGGGAGGCTATAAATACCCCTTGCCAGAGTCCATTTACCCTTGCGCGATTTCATATTGAGGCGAAGCTCTGCCAAATTTTCTAGAGAGAGAAACCCTTTCTTTCGATCAATCTCAGCTTCCAAGGTCAGTTCTTCGCTTTCTTCTCCCCTCCTTTAGTAGGTTTTGCTTCGTGGCCTTAGATCTAGTGTTTAGTGACACTTAGGAAAATTTCTTCCCTCGAACCCTTCAAACACATTACCGAGGATGTCGTCCGGCAGCCATTCTCAAGATATTTCGAGGGAGCCGTCGACTGAACTAGAGAGCATATCTGATGTGGAGCCTTCGAGTGATGAGGCCTCGTCGAACGGTGATTCCGCTGTCGCCATGGAGGTTAGGCATGACAATGGGTCGGGGCGGGTACTGCAAGACCCAGACCCGCCTTGTGACTTGGCGGGGCAGGTCCGCCCCGCCCCGTGAACTGTGCGGGTCCAAACGTTTTGACCCATGACCTGCCCCATGCGGGCCGGATCCGCCCCGCCCCGCCGTAACTTAATTAGCTAGTATGTATTTTTATTTGTGGCAAGTTGTTATCAATTGAAGCTACTTAAAGTTTATCTCTAAATAATAATTAAAAATTAATATATTAAATCAAATTCATGATACCCTAAAATTTTCAAAAATTAAGGAAAAATTACCCATACTTGAATAGTTAATCTATTAAATTATACTAATAATTGAACATATGTATTAAAATACTATATATAATGAAGACATTGATAATCCCCCGTTCATCTCATTCTAATATATGTATTAATATATTATAAGATCAAAGAATTTATGATTTACTGTATACAGACATATGTATGTTGAAGTATATTTGTAGTATGATTTAAGAAAAAATATGTATGTTCATGTATTGAGCGGGTCGGGTCAGGGCGGGTCAGGGCAGCACGGGTCAAGTGACCCACCCCAAATGTCTCGGGCCAGGGCGGGTCACTGCCGGTCGGTTTTTTTTGACATCCCTAATGGAGGTGGAGAAGGACCTCAGAGATGAGGCCGAGGAAGAAGTATTTGAGCAAGTAAACGAGGACGAGGAGCTGGCCTTTGCCGTTCAGACTGCGGAGGAGGAGGAAGAGAAAGAGAGGCAGAGAGTTAGCGTGGCTATCCTTCCCCCACGCAACGCTGGTGAGGCCAGCAGCTCCTGGCCACTCAACCCGGAGCCTCTCAGGATGGCCCCAGCGAAGAAGAGCAAGAAGAATGGGGGGGCAAGAAGAAAGGCAGTGTTGCTAATCTTGGGAAGCCCGTCGGAATTCCTGAGGGATACTCATGGCTGAATACTGCTGCCCTGTCGATCAACTCGAGGGCTGATCGGGCCGAATGCTACGTAACGCAGCTGCACGTAGGGCCTTCAGCGTTAGTGATAGAACCGGGCCCCAACGATCTACTATCCCAAGCTCCCGAGGGGTGCTTCGCGGTCCACATTCTCTCCGTCTCTAAGGGCCTTCGTTTCCCGTTGCATCCCTTCCTCCTGGAATACCTTCGGTATGTAGGACTAGCCCCCTGCCAGCTCACCCCGAACAGCCATTCATAGTTTCATACATTGCTGGGTTCCTTCATCTGTGCCGGTCCCGTGACGTTACTCCCAGTTTAGACCTTTTTTCAAAGCTTTAACCTGTGCCAGGGGGGTCATGCTAACTCCGAGGGCTATGCGATGAAGTGGAGACTCTTCGATGAAGTGCCCTCGTCCCATAAGGGACCGTTTCTGTTACGTCAAGATGGCAAACAATCTGTTCCCGAGGAAGCTGCAGGATCGTTTCAGGTGACATCCGAACGTAGGGAGTACTGCCCTCGAGAAAGACGGGAAGAAGATCTCTGCTATCCCGGTGGGGCGTGAAAACCATGTGTCGGTCAAGGAGATGACCCTCGGGGATGATTTGTATAGCTTTGGCTTCCGGCGCTACCGCTTCCTTGGAGAACGGGACGAGAAGTACCCCGTTCTTGAACGAGCCTTCGAGAGCACCGAAGGTAGTTCCCGGAGGCTCTTGCCTTTTGTACTTAGAAAAATTTTGCACTCGTTTCATTTATGTCCTGTAGTCGATCCCCTCGGCTTAATTGCTTTTGTTGTTTTGTAGGTTCAAACATGGATATCAACTCCTTTGCCGCTCTAAAGAAGCAAAAGGCAAAGGGCCAGGGTAAGAAGGAGTCGGGCAAGCAGAAGCCCGTCGGTGACTTTTTCAAGAAGGGCGGTGAGCCCTCGGCGGTACCTACTGATGATGCCGTAGCTGCCGCCAAGAGGAAGGCGGCCGGCAAAGGAGTCGCCCCCCTTTGGCAAGAAGCTGAAGAAGGGGATGCTGAGAAGAAAGCTTCTTGTGTGGTGATTGTTGAGGGGCATTCATCCTCTGAGCCCCCGGTCATATTGGTGACTCCTTCCCAGGCCCTCGTGGATGAGGGGGTCCTGCCCAGGGAGACTATCCAGTTCTCCCTCCTCAAGGGAACGGCCATCTTGCATGGCACAGTGGACCCGAAGGAGTTTCTGAGGGGTGCCACCCTCTTGCTGGACAAGGTTGCCCTCAACCGAATGGACGATGAGGCCCTCAGTAATAAGATCCTTCGTTCCTCCCTTACTGTAAGTTTTTCTTTCCTTGTTTCTTGTCTTCTTGCCTTAGAGTATTCTTGCATGGTGTCCTAATCGTTTTCGTTTGTTCATTTGCAAACTTGCATTGCCCTTGGTGAGCAGGCCCGAAGGCTTGAAGAGTGGCGCCTTCGGAAGGTACAGGAGGATGAGAGGCTAAAGAAGCTCATTCATGACAATGTCGATGTCGTGAGGCAGATGGCTAAATTGGAGGAGGAGCTGCGGCAGGCGAAGGCCGAGGCGGAGAGGGCTACATCAGAGAAAGTCGAAGCAGAGAGGGCCGCTATTGAGGCCGCAAAGAAAGCCGTCGAGGAGGCCGAAGCTGCCAAGGCGGAAGCCGTTGCCAACGCCCGGGAGATGCTGTTGCTGCCTTCATCGCCGAGGGGTGAAGGGCCGAGGACCATAGTCAATGCGTGGCATCGGTGGTGGAGGCCTCGGTGGATGCTTGGGTGAAAGGCCCCGGGGCAATGTGGCTAGCCCGCAAGGGCGAAGACTATTATGCTGGGGAGAGTTTTTCACTCAAGCCCTAATCTACAGAAGGTTGGCTCACCACTTTCAGGTGGACCCGAAGGACTTTGACCCTGCAGCATATGGCCTCCCCCCCTTCAGCCAGATGTCAGAATCCCCCTCCCCCCGGATGTTGAGAGGCCGGATCTCGAAGACTCCGTGCTGATTCAGGGTGCTCTGGGCGATGATGAGGAGGCAGAAGGGGATGCCATTTCCAAGCCAGCCGAAGAGATTGTTGTCGAAACTGTCAATCCCTGATTTGTACTTAAACAATTTTTGTAATACCTTGTAGCAAACATTTCTTATCTTCCGGCTTCGTCCTTGATGTATAACAATTTACTTTTCTTTTGTTAATGAATGCCTTCTTCCCCTTGTCTGCTGTTGAATGAATGCCTTCATTTTTGTTCTTGTGAATGAATGCCTTCGTTTTTTTATGTTTGAATGGACAGCTTTAAGAATCTATGTCTGCATTGTGAGTTGACCGAGGGCCAATCACTTAGGACTTAGAAAATTTTTCTAAATGTTGTTCAATGCTAGGCCTTCGGTCGATGCTTCCTTCTTGGTCTTGTGTAGATTGTCGTGTGTTGACCGAGGGCCAAAATTTTAGGACTTAGAAAATTTTCCTAAGCGTTGCTTACAACTTGGCCCTCGGTTGACATCTTCTTTCGTGTGCCTTGTGTTGTGTGAGTTGTAAGCCCTCCTTCATTGGTGGTCGGGGGCAATAGTTTAGCACTTAGAAAATTTTCTAAGTAATATTCACTGCTGGGCCCTCGGCTGATGTCTCCTTTTAGTCCGCATGAATGCTACGAGCTGACCGAGGGCCTAAGATTTAGGACTTAGAAACTTTTCAAGTGGTGCTTTGCCACTAGGCCCTCGACTGACACATCCCACCAGCTGTATGAAGTAGTCGGCCCTTGCCATATGTCCCCGTGGGAACCGGTGTGTGGACTTAGCCAAATTTTGAGTGATGCCATGAATGTGCCCTCGGCTTGTAGTAGTCTTAAGCAAAGTTTTCTTTAGCAAAGCATGGTGATGCTGGGGGCCCTAAGTCATGGACTTAGAGAAATTTGTATTGGGTCTACAGCCAGCGACCTCCGGTGTTGACTGTGGTGCCTTCGGCCTTATCTTTCGAACTGTAGGCTTAGATGATCTCAGTCTGAAACGTGAGGGTTGGTGCCTTCGGTCCATGTTGGAATGGAAGGTGCTGCATAGCAAGGGCCTCTGGCGTTAATTTTCAAAATGTAAGCTTTGGATATTAAGTCCCATATACAGCGTTTGATGCCTCCGGTATGTGTTGAAATGCCGGGGGCTGGCAGAACGTGGACTTGGCCACATTTTGGTAACACTTTGGTGGATAGTAGCCTTCGGAATAAAGGCCAATGCCAAAGGTGACTTCCTGAATAAGAGCCCTCAGGGGAGCCTTCAGTATAATCTGTAATGCCTTGTGAGGAGCATTCTTGGCAGCCTCCGTCGGGTGTTTTGTTGCGAATGTTGAAACTTATACTCATTGATTTCTCGTTGAGTCTACTCCCCTTCACCCCATTTTTTATAGTGAATGGGAGGCTTCAAGAAACTTGGTTTCTTGGTAAGGCTTGGCCTATCGGGAGGCAACAGTATACACCACTGGCTCCTCCTCGGGATTAACCTTCCGGGTTCCGAGGGGATCGAAGGTCGTTTCCTTAGCACAAGACGTGGTATGTTGCCTGCCTCCCCTTGGGGGATGGCACGGAAAGCGTCTCAGTTTTGAAAGTCGTTCCCTCAGCACGAGACATAGTCTGTAGCCTGCCATTCCCTTGGGGTAATAGCGCGAGAAGCGTTTCGTTTTGAAAGTCGAATCCTGAGGCATATTAGTTGTCTGCCATTCCCTTGGGGTAATGGTGCGGAAAGCGTTTCAGGGAAGGGTTTTATTTGCATATTAGTTGCAAATAGCCGGGGGCACTTGGTACCCCTGACACCGATAGGTGGAGCCTTCGGTATAGTTGCATCCTCGAGGGGTACGACTTTATTTTTAACACTTGGTTTATTTTTTGTACAATGCCCTCGGCACTTGGTATAGAGGGATCGTCTTCAAAAACATTTGGTGTTTTATCTTTGTAGTTGATTACAGCGTCCTCCCTTGGCACTTGGTGCCGGGGGGTCTTGTGAGAAGGCCTTGGGCCAGGAGCTTGCATGAGGGCTTGGCCGCTCATGTGTATCATGTACTTGGTACTTTTGGTGTCTTCAACATGCATTTATTCTTGAAAAACAGGAGGCCTTGGGCCGTTGGATAAGTACATTCGTAAGTCATGAGGGCTTGGCCACTCATACGTTACTGATAAAATTTCACCAGGTGGTGTACATTCCAGTGTCTAGGGACCTCGGTTCCATTAGGGCGTTTGAGCTTGTACGTTCCTGGTTTGATGATGGCTGTGACAATGTAGGGGCCTTCGAACTTTGGTGCCATCTTGCCACCCTCGGTTGGTTGGCTAGCTTCTCTCCTTTGGAGGACATATTCCCCCACTTGAAATTCTCGGGAGCGAACTTTGGCATCGACGTAGCCCTTCACTTATCTTCGGTAGTTTTCCGCCCTTAGGAAGGCTTGCTCTCAGCGTTCTGAGATGAGGTGAAGGTCGAGGGCCATGTTGGCGTCGTTGACTTTGGGATCATATCGGGCCACCCTTCGGGTAGGAAGGGTCACTTCCGTGGGAGCCTTGGCCTCGAACCCGTAGCAAAGGGAGAAGGGTGTCTCGCATGTTTCCCACCGAGGGGTGGTGCGATAGGTTCATAAGATGTTGTGAAGCTCTTCTGCCTAGCCTCCCCCTTCGGCCTCCAGTTTCTTCTTTAGGCCCTCAAGCAGAGTTCAGTTGGCGTTCTCCACTTGCCCGTTGCCTTGAGGGTAGGCAACAGATGAAAATGTGTGTTTGATGCCCCATGCCTCCAGGAGGGTGCAGAAGGAGGCTGCCTCAAACTGAGTCCCGTTATCGGAAATGATTTGTTAGGGGACGCTAAACCTCGTGAGGATGTTTTTGAGGACAAAATGATGGCACCTGGCTTCGGTAATGCTGGCGAGGGGTTCAGCCTCCACCCATTTGGTGAAGTAGTCAATGACGACGATGATGTACCTGTTGTTGGAGGTACCCCTCGGTAGTGGGCCTACTAGGTCAATACCCCACCTGGAGAAGGGTATTGCTGTACTGATGGGGGCATAGTTAACCACAGGCCTCCCAGGAGCCTTCTGAAAGTGTTGACAGGCGGGGCATCTTCGAGTGAGGTCCGCACAATCTCGGGCCATCGTGGGCCAGAAGTAACCCTGAACTATGAGCCTTCGGGACATGGAGAAGGGTCCTTGGTGAGCTGAGCAATTGCCACTGTGCACTTCCTCCATTGCAATTTCGGTTTCATCCTGATGGAGGCACCGGAGTAACGTGTCGTTGTAAGATCGTTTGTTAAGCCTCTCGTCTTCGATGGTGTAGCTGGGAGCCCTCAGCTTTGCCAGCTTTGCACGGGTTTCATCTTCGGGAAGGTGGCCTGTGGAGATGAACTTCATGATGTCAGAAATCCAGTCCTCAGGCCTTTGTTGTATGTTCATGACGGGGCTGACGTGTATGCTTGAGAGGCAGAGTTCCTCAATTCTTGCGATCTTCGAGAGGTGCTCTGGGAATTCGGCCGAGAGCTTTGATAAGATATCGACCTCAGAGTTTTGAGCCCTCGGTATTTGAGTGAGAGAGTGTGCCTCAAATACCTTAAGCAACTCCTTGGCCACTTCCTTGTACTGTTTCATTCTCCCCTCCTTAGCCTCATATTCCCCTGAAATCTGGCCGACGACTAATTTGGAGTCGCATATCACGTGGATCTGTCTGGCCTTCATGTTAGCCGCCAACCGAAGGCCACAGAGGAGGGCATCATACTCCGCTTCGTTGTTGGAGACTTTGAAGGAGAAGCGAATGGCTTAGTAGGCGCGGAAGCCTTCAGGCGTAATGAGGACTACCCATCCTCCACATGCTTTGGTTGCTGAGGAGCCATCAGTATAGAGGGTCCACCATTCGTCCGAGGGTGCCGAGGGCTCCTCATCCACCGCTGATCCTGCCGTGCACGCCGTCACGAAGTTTGCCAGGGCTTGTCTCTTTATGGCAGGCCTCGAACGGATGTTAATGTTGTATTGGCTGAGGAAGAAGACCCATTTCACCATCCGGGAGGAGCTGGTGGGGCTCCTCATCAAAGCGCCGAGGGGTTCGTGCGTGAGGACCTGGACAGGGTGTGCCTGGAAATAATGGCCTAGCTTTTTGACGGTCCAAACAATGGCTAGCATCGTCTTCTCCACAGGAGAATACCTGAGTTCCGCCTCTCTGAGGGTCATGCAAACATAGAAAATGGCGTGTTGGATGCCATCTTCCTCCCGGATTAGCACTGAGTTGATGGCAGTGGGGCTAACGCCCAGGTCGAGGTACAAAGTTTCTCCCACCTTGGGTTTGGAAAGCACAGGGGGTGAAGATAAGTACCTTTTCAACTCATCGAAGGCCTCCTGATCTGAAAGAAGGGGAGGGACTTTTCCGCCGACTTGGACAGGAAGCGGTTGAGGGCTGCCAGGCGGCCCGTCAGCCGCTGGACCTCCTTTACGTTGCGTGGGGGCTCCATGTTGATGATGGCCTGGATTGTCTCGGGATTGGCTTCGATACCCCTTCGGCTCACCATGTAGCCTAGGAATTTGCCTCCTTGCACGCCGAAGGTGCATTTCTTCGGGTTTAGCTGAAGGTTGAATTTTTGCATGATGGTGAAGATCTCCCGGAGGTCGTCAGCGTGGCTTGATGATTGTTTTCTTTTGACGATCATGTCGTCAACATAGGCCTCCATGGTGCGCCCGAGGACGGCTTGAAAAACCCTGGCCACCATCCGGGTGTAAGTGGCACCGGAGTTCTTCAGGCCGAAGGCCATGACTAGATAACAGAATATGCCTTCTAGAGTAATGAAGGCTGTTTTTTCAGCGTCTTCCTCGTGCATGAAGATCTGGTGATATCCGCGGAAGGCATCGAGGAATGACATGATTTCGCATCCCGCCGTTTCATCCACCAGTTGTTCAATATTTGGGAGCGGGAAAGGGTCCACGGGGCACGGCTTATTTAGATCCGTGTAGTCCACGCACATGCGGAAGGTGGGCGGATTTTGTGCAAGGACTACGTTAGCAAGCCATGAAGGTTATTTCACCTCCTTGATGTGTTTGATGGAGAGGAGCATGCTGACCTCCTTCTTCACAAAATCCCTTCTCTCGGCCGAGAGGGGTCTTCTTCTCTGTTGCACAGGTTTGGAGGAAGGGTCCACCGACAAGCGGTGAGTGATGACCCTTCGACTAATTCCCGGCATGTCCTCCGGCCCCCATGCAAAAACAATGGAGTAGGCGCGGATGGCATCCGTGATGCCGGTCTTCAAATATTCAGGGAGCTTGGCTCCTATCTTCACGACTCTCTCCGGCTTGGCCGGATCGAGCGCGAAGTCTTCTACCTCCTAAGCTGCTTCAGCCCTCGGCCTCTTCTCTTCTTCCTCAACAGTCCCGATGATGGTGTCTACCCGGAACTCATTCTTACTAACCTTCTTCGTTATCTGAAGATAGCAGGCGCAGATGAGCTTTAGGTTCCCCCTCGAGTACCCGATGCCTCCTTCAGCTGGGAATTTGAGACATAGGTGCCTCATGGAGATGATAGCCTCCAGGTCCTCGAGGGCGGGGTGGCCGAGGATGATGTTGTGGGCGCAGTCAATGTTGACGACGACAAACTCCACTTCGAGCTTGGCCCTATGGAGCCCGTTACCGAAGAGTACGGGAGGGTCATCGCCCCCTCGGAATCTATGGTGTCTCCGGTGAAGCCGGACAGGTGGGTCCGAATGGGCCGAAGGCAACTCCTCTCTAGGTGCAGCTCGTTGAATGTGCTGAGATACATTACGTTGACGGAGCTGCCTGTGTCAACAGAAGTTCGGTGGATGATGGTGTTATTGATCTCGCTTTGGATTACTAATGCATCCCTGTGAGGAGAGGAAACTGGGGGGAGATCGGCGTTGGTAAACATTATGGACTCCTCTCTCATCCGCTTTACGGGGGGCATGTGAGTGACTTCCCCCACATAAAGCGATTGTGCCCACTTCTTTCTTTGGCTAGTGGAGTCTCCCCCCGTGTTGCCCCGGTAATCATGAGGATGTGGCGTTTCTTCTCCTGGTACTGGCTGTACTCCTCCTCCTCATCGAGATTCCCGATCTCCCGCTTCTTACCCTTCGGGTCACCGAGGGGAATGATGTTTGGATTAACCCAAGCATTTGCCCTCGCCGGCGGTCCTCGCGGGGGCTGTTGAGGCTGAGGGCCCCTGACAAATTGGGACAGATGGCCCGCCTGTATAAGCCTCTCGATGGCTGCCTTCAACTGGTTGCAGTCATCGGTTCTGTGCCCTTGATTACGATGGAAGCGGCAGTATGGCTCATTGGGGTTGACAGCGTATACCTCCAAAGGCGCGCGAGAGTCGCGCTCCACGAGGCCTCTCTCCTCGGCGTAGTCCAGAATGACGTTGATGGGATGCGTCAGAGGCGTCCGAGGGTGCTCCAGAAGGATGGGTTGGGCCCAAGCCTTGGGGTTGTGCTAATAACCTCCCCCGGGTTTGGCTTGGCCATGCCGGGGGCGATCACCCGAAGGGGTCGGGCCTTTGGATTGATGGGATGGAGTCCCCGGCCCTTAGTTGTTCCGGTCATCTGGCCGGGGGCGCTGCTGCTCGGGGTTCTGGCGACATTTCTCTACCTCCTCGGCCTCTGCATACCGGTCCCCCCGCTGGAGGGCCCTTATATAATCGCGAGGGGGTTCAATGATGAGGCTCCTTGAGAATATCCCGGTGCGGAGGACCATTTGCAGGAGAGCTAGAAGGGTCCCGTCGTCGGCTCCGTCAACTTTGTCTGTTTCCAGCCTCTAACGTTCCAAGAAATCCTGGAGGGTCTCCTCCTTCCTTTGCCTCACCGTTAGCAAATGGGAGAAGTGTTTTCTTGACCGGCGCCTTCCCGCAAACTGTGTCAAGAAGCGCTGGGCGAGTTCTTGCCACGAGTCAATGCTACCTTCAGGCAATCGGTTGAACCATTCGTACGCTGGTCCTTCTAAGGTGGAAAGGAACCAACGACACAAATATTCATCCGATGCCCCCACCATCATCATGTTGTTTTGGTATCTGTTGTAGTGCTCCTGGGGGTCACTCTTTCCTTCGTAGGGCTTGATGGGTTGCCCTCGATACTTTCCCAGAATCTGGGCCGCCAATACCCTTCGGGTAAATGGCATCCTAGTCCGGAGTTGGATGACAGGTTCCCTGGAGCCTTCAGCCATCTTATTCTGCATGTCCTCCATTTTGGCCAGCATGGCGGCGTATTTGGGGTCCGCCTGTGAGGCGCAAGATGTAGTGTGCGTTTGGCGGGCCTCCATCTCATCAAGGCGGCATTGGAGGGCCTTGATAATTTCATCCCTGTGATCCTTTGGGAGGGCCTCCGCCCCCTGCGATTGAACACGGGCCGAGTGGGCCTAGTTGATTTGGTGTCTGGCGTCATCGGCATGTAGTGGTGCCTTTCCCTTGTCCTGAAGGGGACGCCTCTCGCTTGCCCTCGATACCGACCCCCCGCTTTCTTGAGGTCTTTGGAGTGCCTTACCACTGAGGCGGTCTTGGACCCCTCGGCGATCTTGCACCCCTCTGAGCCTCTCAAGGACGGATGTCCAAGGCCTTTCTTTGTTCACGCCGCGCTGGTCCCGGGATTGGACTTCCTGGGATGCGGTGTCTTGGGCCATGACCCCTTCGTCGTTCCCCAGCTGGAGGATGGGGTTCACAAAAGGGGGCGGAGGAGGGGGAGGAATGACGTTCTCCCCGACCTGCGGCTGAAGTGGTACCAGAGTGCCGAAGGCACCTGGATTCTGGGTGAGTGTCTGGATGAAGGTGGAGAACGCCGATTGTACGTCAATAGTGAGGACCGGAGGGCTCACTTGGTTTTCGCTCCGGTCCTTCCTTCGAGTTTCGATGCCGAGGCGGGCATCGGGAGCATTCTGCTGGAGCTGAAGGCGCAGGTCGATAGCAGCCTGTTCCAACCCAGCGATGACCCCGCCCTCGGGTGCCTTGTTGGAGGCTCCGAGGGCGTTGACTTCACCAAGGGTCAGGTTATTGTCCTCAAGGGTCTTGGACTGAGCACGAGTTCTTCCCATTTTCGTTGGCGTTTTGTGTTTGGCGAAGGGGAGAGTTTCTTACTTGATTGTTCGACCTCTCAACGAGAGCACCAAATGATGGATATTGTACCAGGGGGTAGCTTATCCGGGGGGGTTACTGCGGGGAGTAACTTAGAGAGAAGTCGGAGTAAATAAGTAAGAAAGATAAAGAGTTCGAATATAGAATGAGTATTCAAGTCGTGTGTTACAAAGGGGAAAAGGGAAGCTATTTATAGTAGTAATAAATGCGATGAGAGTACACGTGTCAATAATCTGACGGTCGAGGGGTCACCTCAAACTGGGTGGCACCGACACCTGCATGTGGCCGCATTAAATGCGGTGGTTGGATGTGACGTTGTACTTGGTACGGCGATCCAGGCGCATGTGGAGAGCAGATTCTGTCGAGGAAGGTGCCTTCGGCTTTAGACGAGAAGCCGAAGGCTATTCGTACCGGGGGCCTCTCAGTGCCGAAGGCTACTGATTTTCATCGTTTTCTCCCAGTAGCTTCGTATGCCCAAAACCAGCTATCCTGTGGGATTTCGGGCCTTCGGCCTGGGGACCGAAGGCGTCCATATGTGCAGCGTGGGCTCCTTGATATCTGGGGCGCTGTGATTTGGGCTCGTTATTCTTCATGTGCTTGTTAGGCCTGTGACAGAGTAGCGGGAGTTTGTGGGTCGGGGGTTCCTGGGCCATATACTCCATCAGTAAATATTAAACATGTGTTACTATGACTAAGTTGATACTATAGTCACTACACTTATGATTTTTTAATTAGACTTAAATTGTATAGGTTGGTCTGTTATGATCTTGTCTGTTTAAGACCAGTCTGAACTGGTCTGATGTGGTCTGATAAATATCTAGCCTATGTGTATTTTACTACTATTGAAGTCATGTTTGATCTATAAAAGTTTCGTCTGACTTGGTCTGTGATTGAAAATAGTCATAGTAAAAAGATTCTTAAGATTTCATATTTTTGTAAGCAACATTTATTTTAGTCACATATATAATTATTTCATATTATTATAGCTCGAAATAATATTTTTTTCATAATAGTCTAAATAAGAATAATTAATGATAAGAGTATAAAGATTAGTGAGTTAAACACTGTGATTTCTGGAGATATGATTTCTATGCCAAGTTCATTTCCCCAAAAAGGTAAGTATTTAATACCTCATATTTTATTCCAAGACTATCTATTGTGGTGCACTTCAAAAAAAATTATTCTTGATAATTGTTATTGCTTGAACTAAAACTATCTATTTATAAAACAAATACGAATTAACCAATTACTTCCTTTTGTATTCCTAAAAGTTATAAAAATAATTACATATTTATGACTCAAATTAAGATTATTACTTTCTAATTTTCTTTCAAAATTTATTTTGTCCCTTGGAATTTTGGTTCATATTCATACATGACACTTGGACTAAATATTCCTTAAATAAAATTAGAATCAAGACAAATGAATATTGGGAATGTATTTAACATGGAAAAGTAATTTCATTTTGGAGTCAAAAGTGATAGGCCGATAGCAACTAATTTACTACGGAGTACCTTATACGGTGTATTATATAAACAAAATAAAGATAAAAATAAAGATATAAATATCATCATCATCATCATGTATTGATGTAGTAGTAATTATTCATTAATTTTGCATAATGTATCTATAACATTATTTTAGGTATTGTTAACATGTAAAGCAAATAAATTATTTATTGTTTTAAATATGGCAAGTACTTTCTTTGCCCTTAATATTAATATATTTATAGTTTCCATTTTGCACTCAATTTTGTCTGGCCGACACTTTTGCTACATTTGGCTATTGAGCAATTTAGATGCCATTGGCGGTTTGACATGGTGATATATATGGTAATAAGACTTTTTGGATACTCCGTATATCAATTGACAGCATGAATGACACTTACGGTTGAATTTTCCTTTTTATCCCTTTTTAATTGGGCAGGAATTTTCCCTCCAATATTTGTTGCCCGTTACTTTATACGGAGTATTATATAAAGATTAAACCAAATGATGATCTATGTGTAAATCCTTTTATTCATTTGCAATAATAGTAAAAGAAAAAACCATATTATGTATGAAGAAAAGCATAATTTTCTTGATAGTCTGATGTTAGATCATCTAACTTACGTTGACTTACATATTGACAACAAAGGACTATTTTATTTGCCCTATAATTACCTTTTATTATGTATGATATGATTTTTTTTTTGTTCAGCTCAAATATTTACATTAATAGTTAGTATATGCACTCAAAATTAATAAAATCCAAGGGAAATTGATGGAAAATCAATGTTGACATCTTTAACCTTCACCTCATTTTTACATGTTAGCAAGTATATACGGGGGCAATTATATACGCGGTCTACAGAATAACATGTCCATCATGTTTGAAGTTTGATTATGTGATGGTATGGATAACTTAAGTATGTATGTCCTGAATGTTGTATGTAAATAAGTTTATAATAATTTGTAATCAATTTTTTGGACTTACAAGTGTGTTTTTTTACCATATGGTATCTTACATTAATTTTAACCATTTATGTAGTAATTCTTATAATTCTATTACAATAAAATTTGGGTCTTTGTATAATGTTTTCAATTATCTGAATCGCTATAAAGTTTCTTTTATTTTTTTATATGATTGCATCTAAATTATTATGTAAGTTCTTCATCTCGTGAACGCGCGGGTGGAGTATTTAGGGCAATTTAATAAATTATATACTCCTTCCCGGTGCGTCCGTCCGCAGGAGAAGCGCCGTCCAGCCGACGGCGTTTGGCCGCCTTCCCGGTCGAATTATTTGATGAAATTTATATGGCATGTTCTTTATCAAATCTAGTGTATCCACAAAAACATTCAGCTAAAAACTCAATCCGGAAGGTCTTCAAATGAGTTTTTGAAGTTAACTGTTCAAAATTACACACACAAAACGCAGTCAACTTCAAAAAATCATTTGACAACCTTCCGAATTGAGGTTTTAGCTGAATTTTTGTGTGCATAAACTAGGCTTGATGAAGAACATGCCATTAACATTTCAGAAAAAAATTTCACCGGGAAGGTGGCCAAAAGCCGTCAGCCGGACGGCCCCTGTGGTGCGGCCGGACGCACATGAATAGTCCTCATTTATCCCAACTTCTTAAGTCAATGTAACCCGGTCGTGTATGTTTATTCCGAAGCTATTGTTACCCTAATTAATAGATGAAGTCAATAATGTCAATGCTTACATGTTGGTTCACATAGATTTAGAGTTAAGAAGTTATATAGGTTCGGATTAAGCTTATTCATCTAGCTCAAATAGTGACCACTTACATGAGAGACATACTCTTGAATTTCTTAAAGGCAATCAATGTTTCAGTTTGCCAAATCACGAGTTAGAGCTAAAAGTGATGGTGCATGTGATGCTTACGAGAAATATAGATATTTCATATCGATTGTGTGATTCTACACAAACTTAAAACTCATATCATTGAGGATCAAACGTTACATGGTGAAAATGTCAAGGAATTTTTTTATTCCTACTTACTTTAAAACCACCACGCGTTAGACTCTCATTCACTTTTCAATGCAGATAATTTCTATTAATGATTAGGAATGCAATGGCCGTTAGGAAGAGCATGGACAATTATTGAAAAAAGTTATCATCTTCCTTCATTGCTCTGTCCAAAGTGTGCGTGGAAGTTTGGAGAGTAACAAGTCAATGAGTTAAAATTTGTGATATGTTACGAAGATGAATCCCATGACCAATTGCGTCTGACTTGAATGTTGTATACAAAGAATTCTAATAATTTGTAGGTTTCCTTGACAACTTTGTGGACTTACAAACACATCTATTTCATTACGTGATGTTCTACTTTTGATTAGTACATATACTTCTTAGTTTGTTATAACAATGATATCTTATTTCATATTTTATTTAATTTTTTCAGTTAATTGGCCATTACCAATTTTTTTCCTTCATAGAATTGCGTCTAAATTATTTTATAGGTACTTTACTCCCGTGCAACGCACGAGTGGAGTAACTAGTTATTATAGAACCTGTTAAAGTAGATATTATTAGTGTGAACTAGTAGCTCACTCGTGCGATGCACGGCAAGAAGCTTAAATACATATAATTAAATAAACATTCTCAAAAAGCATATTGTTGCATCAATTATTTTTTTTATTTTTTATTTTTAACCCGGAAGGTCAACCACCAAAATCAGTGGGGCAAATGCCGGGGAACATTTGCAGAAGTTTTATTAAAAATAATAGAGATTACAATTGAAAGGGGGACTAGACCAAAACCCTTCAAGAGAGGCATACCTCAAAGAAATACAATGAGAGAAGAAAGCAAATGGAAATTGGGGGCTCAACCTTACCCAATTAAAAAACAAAAGTAAAGAAACAAGGAAAAACTAATTAGGAAACCCTAAAATTAGGGAAACCTTTCGCCTCCAGAGTAACAATACCACGAACCGGAATAGGCAAGTGTTCCATCTGATAGAAAATTGTTGAGTTCCCGATTTCGATTGAGGAGTGAGCGATCTGATGAGCTGCTTCGTTTGTTTCTCTATAGCAATGCGAAAAGGTGAGAGAATAGCGCGAAGCAAGCTCTAGGATTGGTTTGATGAGATGAGGATAACCTGGGTTAGCAGAGGCTCGTCGGAGAAGATTTATCGCCGCAAGAGAGTCCGATTCAACTTCGAGGTCGCTGAAACCAGCCTCCACAGTCCAGTGAACCGCAACAAAGATAGCCATTATTTCAGCTTCAAGTACCGAACTAGCTGTGAGAGGAAACACTCCGGCCAGAATGAAGTCACCATCAACATCTCTCAGAATAGTTCCACCGGTTGAAGATTTATGATTGAAAGCAGCATCTACATTCAGTTTAAAGGTACCATGAGGCTTTTTCCAGTTCAATTTGAGAAATTTGGGGGAATGGCTTTTTTTATCAACCGGTACCAGTCTCTCATATATTAGAAAATCAGGAATAGATTGACCTTTAGGGAAATTCAGACCATCAGACCATTGATAAATATAGGTTCTAATTGATCTCTTGAAAGTGTCCATGTTAAAACAGGAAGCTGTTGTATCCCAAGTTAGAGAAGCATATTGTTGCATCAATTAAAAGAAATAAATTGAATATCAAACATTAGCTCTACAAATTTTGAAAAACTTCTTTGTAGACAATATTTGTACTTTGTGTTGTACTTTGTTCATCACCATCTACTAACAAATTTTCAGCCCATTTCTATTGGTCAGTTTGAAAACCACAACATGACCATGAGAGAAAACTGGTTTCTTCAACAATGTGAGAGAGAATGACATTGACATTTATTAATAGTCATTATATAGCATAAGCAATCATTATCGGAAATTGTCTTCTCTGAAATTTGAATGGAAGTCTCACAATCTGAAGGAGTAAGTGATAATCTTGGATTGAGATTTTTTTCCCTATGATTGCAACAAAGAGAAGACTTTGGATTCCTCTTAGTAGAATTAACAACCCGTTCTTCTATCCAATATTGTGCACCAAAATATGTACACTTGCATATTTGATCACCGATATCACAATACTCCGTGACACACATATATAATACTTCCTCCGTTCCATAAAAGTTGCAACATTGGAATTTCTGCACTATTCACACACCTTACTTTAACTACGATTTTCTAATAATATACTCCCTCCGTCCCAATTTACTTAGCCATCTTTGACTTTTCCAGTCAAATGTGGTAAACTTTGACTAATTATTTAAACTAATATATTTTGCAATATTTAATAATTTTATACTTTTATGATAGTATTTTTTAACAAATAACATTTTCATATCATTTTCATATTATTGATATTTTCTGTATATAAACATATAATCGGTCAAAGTTAGACGTCATTGACTTGAAAAGTCAAGTTTGGCTAAGTAAAATGGGACGGAGGGAGTATATAATAAAAATATTATGTATAAAATATTAATAAATTTGTATTAGTGTAAATTTCCAATATATTAACTTTTTTTAATGTTTACTAATACGTAAATAAATATAATTACAGTCAAAGTTGCGCGTTGGCAAACGTGAAAGTCAAATTGTTGCAACTTTTATGGAACGGAGGATAGTATATAAAATCTAATTAACAATACAATCCAATACTGGTGAGAATTTATTGAAATTTGTATTAAACAATATTATTCAACATTTTACAAAAAATTGAACCTCTAGAAGCATCGTTCAATATACTTCCAAGTTCTTCTTATTCTATAAAATCAGCATCATCACTCTCTTCACCAGAATCAGATTCATTCATCAACGGTTGTTCATCGCCCCTTCCAAATCCTTCCTCAATGGCATGTGATAAAATGAATTTCCTTTGTTTATCATTATTTGTAAAAGCTCTACAATTGTTTGTTATGGATCTCTGTACCAATGTTCAAACATCGTAAATTACCTTCTGATTGATGGCGTGAATTTCCTAATAATTGAACATGGTGAGTATATTTTTAAAAATAAATAAAAATATGTGAAGTATAGGATAGTTTACCATTTGTAAACTATACTATGCTGTATTCACGTAAAAAACCTATTTCCAACAATAAATGAATTTCCAATTCTAGACTTGAAGCAAAAAGTGTGACAAATTCGCTGCTGCTTATCATTCTCACAATTCACTTTTTCTGCATTTTACATAATTTATGTAGTTGGTATAGAATGCCGAGTAACAAAAAAGTCTATGTTTACATAACATGTTATAATTTTAATGTTTGAGATAGATATGTACTTAAGTTGTCTAAAAAGGTATATAAATACACACTCTATCGTAATGAGCTACTTACCTAAATTCCTGTTTTGCCAACGTACTATTTCTGTCCCAAAAATTGTCATTTTTAAAACTCTGACCAACCATATATTGTTACTGGAAGTTATTTATAATATAAAAATTATATGAAAATGTTCTCTGTTAAAAATATTTTCATTAAAATATAAAATTTATAAATTTCATAATATTCTTTTCATAAAAGTACCTGTAAACACTTTAAAATTACCACGGGAATGTCAGATTACCACGAGAATGTCAGATTGCTGGGTATGTTCACTACTACATTTTTAGACCTAATGTAACAATAGAGATGTAACATATCTATAATAGTGTTACCTATTTCTCTAATGTAACACTTTTTAGACCTAATGTAACACTTTCTAGAAGTATAAGTGTTACATTAGGTACTATAAAATGTTAGAATAGGTCAAATGCAACACCACCAAATGTAATGGTAAAACAATGTTACATTTTTTCTGAAAAGTGTTACATTAGAGAAAATGTAACACTTTTTTACCATTACATTTGCTGGTGTTGCATTTGACCTATTGTAACACTTTATAGTACCTAATGTAACACTTATATTCTAGAAAGTGTTACATTAGGTCTAAAAAGTGTTACATTAGAGAAATAGGTAACACTATTATAGATATGTTACATTAGGTCTAAAAATGTAGTAGTGGTTAGATTGATGGGAATGTATCCAATTTATTCTCCTTTGTGTTTGGTTAAGATTAAGACAATGTGATATTAATTTACTTGGCTGAAAGATATCTTATATTGCAGATATAGTGAATTACTTCAATGTCCTTTAAATATTTTATCTTAAAACAATAAAATTAAAAAAAAATTAAATATCTTAATAATGAATAAAACCAAACCGAATTGATTTTTTTTAAATAATCTACGTTTACTTGTAAAAAGTTGTAGATCCAATTCAAAAGTGAAAAAAACTTTGTTCAAATAGTAATCTAAATATATTTATTATTATTATTATTATTTCAAAAAAAAATTAAAAATGTTCAACTTAATCAAAAAGTTCTTTTCAAATTAAAGAAAAAATGATCAATTTTGCCATTAAATTTTGAAATCCACTCATCAAAAACTTAAATAATCTATAAGTCTTATAAAATAAATACCTTAAAAAATTTAAATGTTAAGAAAAAAGAATTATGAAAGTAACATGAATAGACATTCAAATATAATTAAATATACATACTCCATTTGTCCCATTTAAAAAGTTGTCACACAATCTACGATGGACTGACAGTTAAATTAATTGATCTCTTTCAATAATAAGATTATTTTATAGTAAATAAAATTTACATATTCAGAAAATATATGAGAAGTTTTATAAAATCGCACTTTATAATGAAATTAAATGAAAAGAGAAATAATTGAGGGTATTTTCGGAAGAAAATTAGACCATTCCCGAGAATGTAACATAACATAAGGCATGGATGGTTATAAGATTCTCCTCCATATTACATTCCTGACAATGTAACTTTTCCGATTTTTTCACAAACCCGTGAATCAAAATGAGTATCTGACATTCCGTGCACTACATTCCGGCCTTCATGTGAGATTACCCCAAACCAAACAAACCCATAGAGCACGTTTGGTGACTGTGTTTTTCAATTTATCAGGCTAATCATTACTGTAGATGATCATTTAAGCCACTTCTCATAATTTTTCATAAATCAGCAAAATTAGCGGATCGAGCCACTTTAAATAGTAGAGATTCATTATATACTACAACAAATTTATTATCGATTAAAGAGCCGTACTAAAAAAGAAACAATTCGGCCAAAGGCTAATTGTAAAAAAACCAATTCTAAAGACTCAATCCCTTCTATTTAACGGAGTATCAAAAAACTAAAGGAAAAATGGAAACTAATAATCCAACCTTTTAGCGGTCTTCTTACAATAGTCCTATTTTTTCATTATTCAGGAATACAAAACATTATGAGACTATTATAAGAAGACCGCTAAAGATTGGATTATTACTTCCCATTTTCCCAAAACTAAATGTGTGCAGCCCAATTAAAGAAATATCATAGCCCATACATCCGCCCAAGCCGATTTCCCGTCACCGTGTAAATGGAGCTCCTAGGGTTTGAAAAGCTAGTCCAGACAGTTCATCTTCACCGTATGTCTCCATGTAATTTCGATCCCATACTGAATCGCCGGCGGCGGCTCATCACACAGAACCCCAACTTTTGTGTTCACCGTCGAAAAGTGTTTTTGACCCCTGTCCAAAGCTAAACCCCTACCTAGCTCACAACCGGGTATGCTACCGACCGAATGGAGGCATACCATCCCCACATCATAACCCAGAACCGTCAAATGGCGGATTTTTCGAAAGATGGTCATTTGAGATTTTATTTGCACAAAGATGAGTATTTTGTATTATGTATTTTTAGTTATTAGTTTTTCTTTGCATAAATTATCTATGTATTTTCCGAAACACACCCAACAATCTTAAAACGTATTTGCTGATTGTTCTACTGTGGTAAACAATTTTAAATCGTAGTTTGTCACTTTGGTGAACGAACTTTTTTTTTTGTGTTTTCGGAAAACGTTAAAGAACGAAAATGACTTCTCAAGAAAACGAGATTGGTGTTGAGCAGAATGTTCTAGACGACAATCACTCTGAAAGCATAGCACCGGTGAACAATAGTTCACAACGCGGTGCATCTGCTTTGGCCAACCAAATGGTTATCCCTATGGTGACCGTGCCAAGCAACTCTGTGGAGAAACCCGAAAAATTTAACGGGTTAAACTTCAAGAGGTGGCAACAAAAGATGCTATTCTATCTCACTACTCTCGGTCTTGCAAGGTTCTTGACCGAAGATGCGCCGGTAGCAACCGGGGGTGAGGTGGATGCGCAATCTTTCAACGCGATTGAAGCTTGGAAGCATTCTGACTTCCTTTGCCGAAACTATGTGTTGAACGGGTTGCATGATGCTTTGTACGACGTGTATAGCAAACTAGCTACGGCTAAGGAGCTATAGAATGCTTTGGACCACAAATATAAAAGTGAGGATGCCGGCGCAAAGAAATTTGTTGTTGGTCGATTCCTTGATTTTAAAATGGTGGATTCGAAGACGGTCTTGAGTCAAGTTGAGGAAATGCAAATGATCTTCAACGAAATTCGAGATGAAGGAATGACAGTTAGTGAGTCTTTCCAAGTGGCATCAATTATCCATTTATTGCCGCCGGCTTGGAAGGATTTCAAGAACTACCTTAAACATAAGCGAAAGGAAATGAACTTGGAGCAATTGATCCTCCGTCTGCGGATTGAAGAGGATAACCGGAAGAACGATGGGAAACTCTCAATTGTACATGGCGCCAAGGCCAACGTGGTGGAGCATGCAAAAGGCTCCAAAAATAAAAATAATGGGAAGAGCAAGCTCGGTCC